TATATATATAATTTATCTCATAGTTTTAGTTTTAATTGTTATTTTAATAATTCACTTGAATATTTTTATTATATATTTTACCATTTTTTTTATCAAATTGAGTGACTGGTTACTTAATATTTTAATGTACGTGTTAACTAAAAATATTTTTTAAAATTTTATAATAAATATTTTTTTAGTGATGTCAAATTAAATATTTAAAATCAAATATTTTAATATAATTAAATAATAAAAAACTTAATACTCATTTATATTAAGAGAGAAAAAGTGAATTTTATTTTACATTTTGGCATATTTTTTTGAGCTCGTTCATGGAGTATCCACTACTGATAGCAGTAACTAATCTTCTTGCTACATCAGAGGCACCTTACATTTTGGCATATGAATGAAAATAAGACTGTGTTTAAATTGGTAAGGTAAATTTTTTAGACAAACTTATTAATGGTTAATTTTTTTTAATTTTTTTAGTTATAAAATTATTTATCAATATTTAATAATTAAGTAATTATGATATTTCATTCTTAATAAATAAAATGACTAATCTATTTAATTTATCTTATAACATTAGATAGAATTTAAGCAATTTTAACTTAATTTTAAAAAAAATCAATAATAACAATTGTTATGTATATTGTCAATAGTATATTTTTATTTGCTTTACCTTTCTTATATTTTAAAACACATTTTTAGTTTTTATATTTATATTTATTAATTATTTTTGCTCCTTATAATTTAAGATATACTTTTTTAGTCATTATACTTATCATTTTTAATTATTTTAAGTTTTTACTATTAATTTTTTAAAAATGTCTTAATAATATTTATCACATGTGAGAGTAAAAATGAATCATGCAACGTCAAGAAACTTAACCTAGGATAATTTCAATAAAATAAATTCAACATAAAAAATACAAAGTTAAATACATTTATCACATAAAATCAAAGGAGACAAACTTAAGAAAAAAATAACATAGACTAAAAAAAAACGTAAGTATATGAACTAAAAATAATAAAAAAGATAAATATAAAGATAAAAAATGATATTTTAAATTATAGAAATTAAAAAATAAAATAATTGAAATTAAACTAAAGATAGATTTGATATAGTGTAATACTTTTATTATCAATTATGAATTACCTATTTTTTCCGTTACCTATATTTGCTTACCATTTAATAAGAGGCACACTGTTTTAAAAATTAACTTACATAGCTACACTTAATTATAAAGAAAACGGTAATAATTCAACGTTAAATACAAAATAAACAATATAATGAATAGATGTGATTAATTGATGACTTGAGTCTCGAGTTTTTTATTTTTATTTTTTATTTTTTATGTTGAGACATTTAATTCCTTTAGAATGTAGACATTCGAAAAATTGGAGCCCAAGACATTTTCCTTAATGACCTTGTATGTCACATGACCGTGGTGAAAGGTAATTTGATACTTGTAATTATGGATAGAGGAGGGTGTAATTTTACTTTAATTATATTAAATTAATCAAATAAAATTATATATTTTAATAATAGAAGATTATTTCTTAAAAAATGATAATGTAATTTATTTTAAATTTCAATATAAAATTTATCTGATGTCTTGAGAAAAAAAAAAGTGAAATTTAGTCAATATTTTAACATATCAAAATAAATTTATACCTACATCTTTTAGAAAACTCAAGTGTAATTTATTTTAAAACTCACTCTAATTTTAAAGCACAGATACTCACAAATAAAATACTTTACTATACATTTGCCTTGTTAATAAATATGTTACTATTCATTTTATATCTATATTCTACAGCATGTTTTAAAAAATGAGAATCCGCCTTGAGTATTTATTTATTTATTTTTAATGCTTGTTCTTATTCCTAATAATGGCATATATAGAGTGAGGGGGAAATAGATTGAATTATCTCTAATGAAAATCTACACCATCATATACTCATATTTTCTTTTACTATTTATTTTTTTAATATTTTTAATTAAGAATTGAGATTTTACTATAAAAAAATGTTAAATAAGAAAATCCAAACTTAAAATAAGGGGAATAAGATAACGAGTGAAATGAGATTTTTTGTTGTTGTGAAAATTAAACTCTAAAATTTAAAATATATTAAAGTTGGACTTAAAATATAAAATACATATTAAATAATGATTTAAATTTTTTTAACAAACATCAATAATACAATTATAAATATATAAATCATTATGAAAAGAGAAAGTGGGAATCGAAATGATACAGATTTAGAATCCATATAATAAAAATATTAAATGGTGTTATATATTTAATAATTTTATTTTATTGTTTTTTTCCAATTACATATACTCCGTAATTGTGAAACTGAAGTTGGTTGGTAAAGAAAGAAGTATAGAATTGAGGGGTTGGATTGCAGGCACACGTGGAAGAAGAGAGGAGAATCTTTGTTATAAATAGGAGTCTGAAATTGTTACACGAGTTACCCCGAACACTCATCGGTGGCCAAAACATATCCTCTCGTTAGTCGTTACCTTCTACAAAACAAAAACCAATTAAACCTAAAACCTAATTTTGTCAATTTCCATGGATACTCTGTCAACCTCTGTTTCCACCCTCAAAGTCCCTTCACTCCCATCAACCTTAACACACCGTGAATTCTATCACTTCAAAACAATCCCCACTCGTCCACAACCACAACCACATCATGTCTTCTCCACTTCCACCCCCAAAACCAAAACCAAAACCAAAACTTTCTCCCACAAATCTTCACCTTCTCTGCAACTCACCCCTTCACCTCCCAAACCCAAACCCTCTTCTCCGACTCTCCATCCAAATCCCGCCACTGGGTATGCGGCGGCTCTCGTGGACGTGGCCCACAAAACCAATTCCCTTCACGCGGTTCACGCCGACGTTCAGAGGCTCCTCAAATTGCTGCAAAAGGGTCCCACTTTTGCGGTTGAGGGGGGGAACTTTCACAGGCACGTGGTGGCTCTGCTGAGGATGGTGGCGAAGAAGAAGAAGGTGGGGATTGTGAGGGAGGTGCTGGAAGAGTTCGAGAGGATCTACGACGACCTTTGCGGAACTCAAATGGTGTTGGTTTCGTCGGAGAGGAAGATGGGAGAAGATGAACTCTTTGGGATTGCAAAGACTGTGCATCACTTGAGTGGGGCTGTGAGGGTTAAGGTTAGGAATTTGGTGAAAGAGAGGGTGCCCTCTTTTGTTCCTCTGTGAAATGCTCATGAAATCAAATTCACAAATTCTTCCTTTTACTTTTTATCAATAAAAGTTGGAATTAGATTATAGCTTTTGCTTCATCTACTCACTCACTCATCTATTCACTGGGGACTTTATTACTAGATTTTCTTTGGCCTCTTTATTACATGCCACTGCGCTTGATGAAAAATATGCGTGCGCCAAATGCAATCTTCAATGGTTTACGATTCAATGAAAATCTCTTTTTATTTTATTTCGTGTGTTGGATTCGACGCAATAATCGAATTATGACTAAATTCACTGCCAAAATTTCTCTGGGATTTCTTGCCATATAGTACAAAAGCGCAGCTATAGAATAAAGTATATTAAAAAAATGCTGACAAAATTTCTCTAGGATTTCTTGCCAAATATAAAAAATTGCACCTATAGAACAAAGCAAATTTCTCTGGGATTTCTTGCCAAATACAAAAGTGCAGCTGTAGAAGAAAGCAAATTAAAAAATGATGATTCCGTTGCCGGGACTTGAACCCGGGTCTCTCGGGTGAGAGCCGAGTATCCTAACCAACTAGACTACAACGGAGCTCCAATGTCAATCTTAATAAGTTAGAATTTATCTATAAAAGATAACAGCAAGCTTTTATTTTTTATGTAAAATTTACCGTATACCAATTAATTTTATTATTTTAAAATGTCTATCCCATGGTTTTATTATATTAATATATGCTTGGTAACTTATTTATATTGTTAAAAAAAATTAAAAGATAAAATGTAAATTAAATTGAAATTCAACATACACTTAAATAGTAGAAAATTAAAAAATATATAAAACAAACTATCAATCTGAAATGGAATACTTATGTTTCCAAAAATAAGTATTGTGACAAATTTGTAATGTATTTGTTCTTATTTTTTTTAGTAAACTTCTTGTGAATTTGATTGAGATATGTATACGTAACATAACAAGACATATATGTATCCGATACTAATACAAGAATGAACTAATTTAGATAAATGATTTAAAAGTATATTTTTTTTTAAGTTGAATTAATTTTAAAAACAATGTTATAATATTTTTAATTAGTATCTATTTTTTAACATAGTATTTCATTGAATGTTGCTATTGTTGAAAGTATTTTTGTAAAAATTATAATTTTTCTTTTTTTAATTTTATTTAAATTTTATTAAAGGGTAGAAAAACAATGAATTTACCATATTAGATATTAAGAGTAAACTATTTAAATTATTTTATTGTAAATTTTGATCCATAATTTTAATAAAAAAATAAAATAAAAATTGATTGATCGTATCAACTTAAACTTTAAATATAATGTTTGGCTGATTGAAAGTTATGTACTACATGAAAGGAAATTAGTCTTTTGTCAATTTAAAAAAAAAAAAAATCTTTGTATATAAGGTTTACTTAAAATCTAAAATTTTATGGATAAGATTATGAGCTTTATACATGGTTGGTATACAAGTTAAGTTATAGTTGAATACGCATTAAAAATTCATAACTTGAGTTAACTCACTTTGAATACCATGCCTATATGTTGATAATTTTTTTTTCTTTTTGTTGAGTATAAATTACATGCAAGTCTCGGTTGAAGCAAAAGTTGGAAGGATGTTATTTTTATTTGAAAGGAGATTTGAAAAGTTAAATTTTACTCAACTTAATTTTTAACTATAATCCAAACACACTTAATTATTTATGATTAGAAAAATCACATGTTTTTTTTATTGTTTAAATTCAATTTTTTTTAAAAAATATTCATCTACTAATTAATAAAAGTTTGAGAGATAAGTGATATATTATTGATCTGCAAATGTTAAAAAGAAAAATAACATGTAAAATAATAAAATTTTACCATTAACTGAGTTTAATATAATATTTTCACTAATAAAGATATTAATAAATATATTTTATACGACAATATTTAAGTATTTGATAAATTCTTTAACAAAATTTAAATATAAAGACAAAAATAATATTTTTTAAAATTACAACGACTAAAAAAATAAATTTAAATTTATAAAATTAAAATAAATTACTAAAAACATATTTAAAAAAAATGACTTTGTTGCATTTTAAACATTTATTTTCTATTTTTATTTAAATAAATTCCTTATTTATTAACTTACACATTAGCAAATGTATAGTAGTAAATTTTTAGACGTGAATTATTATTTATAGTAAATCCAACCAATAGTTATTTTACGGTGTAAAATTTTGTAGACATGACAACTAAAGTCTAATATAATTAGTTTGAACGCCGAATTTGGATTGAAGAATCGATTGATCGAACGGCCAGTATAGACTTTCTCGCTGTCCTTTCAAAGTTAGGGTTTTTTCAGGTTTCTTCTCCCAACAGCAGAGCGCAGAGAGGGAGTCTCACCGCATTGACAACAGCCCTTGTCTTCTTCTCTGATTCTACCTTTTCCAGAGACCAACAAATTCAAATCCAACCGTCAAAACTTGTCATTGTTCGCTTCAGAGAGCAAAACCCCCAAATTGTTAGGGTTAGGACATTGTCTCGATCGTGAAGATGAGGCCGGTTTTCGTTGGCAACTTCGAGTACGACACTCGTCAATCAGAGCTCGAACGCTTGTTCGCCAAGTATGGCAGGATTGATCGCGTCGACATGAAATCTGGTAAACTAATATCTTTTCTCTCCCTTTTTTAGGGGCATATTGTTTAGGGTTTGTGACATTTTTTGACTAAGAGATATTAGTTATTTAGCATCAATTGTGTGAGCTGTGTCTATTTAACTTTTATAATTAATGACTTTGGTAATCAAATAGTAATGTTGTTTATCCAACTTTGTGAACAACTTGAATGTGGGCATAATGCGTGTTACTTGTGGTGTGGCTTGAATGCTTGTTATCCTGCTGGAAAATAAATGGCCGCCAAAAGAATTGCATTGTGTTTGGGGGCAATCCTCCGTTTTTAAGTGTTTGTTTTGACGCAGGAACTTGTACTAGTGGAATATATGCTTTGCTGAGGTTCTATCTTTTTTGGAAGGATACCTTCCTGCTTAACACTCACAGCATCTACATTTCTCACCTGATCATCTGTCTGTCACTCTCACTCATCTCATCGCCCAACCATTTCCACCAGAATGGTCATAGTGGGATCAATCATCAATCAAATTAATAAGCCTTGCCATGTCTAGCTCCATACAGAATAGGGGATCAATGAAATTCTGTCATGCCATGCCTTTTATAACTGAATTCACTCTCTGCTGTCTGAATGGAGAAGCATGCTTGGCAATGACATTCATATTCTCAGATCTCAATTTTGGATTTAAACCCTTTAATTGCAATCATCATTTTCTTCCTCATTCAACGCCTCTACAGCTTCATGTGCATCCGTCCTCACATATAATGCAGGTGTTGTATTCTTTTGTTCCCAACCGGGCAAATGATTTCCTGTTTTGGATGATGTACACTGCCAGCCAGGGATAACTATCATATCATGTTGACTTCCATCATAATTTATTATGACTCTAATACTAGTTCTGTTGTTGCAGGTTTTGCTTTTGTCTATTATGAGGACGAGCGAGATGCTGAAGATGCAATTCGTGCACTGGACAACTTTCCATTTGGATACGAAAAGCGAAGACTGTCTGTGGAGTGGGCTAGGGTATGATAGTGTTTTCATTATAATATTTATTGAGCTTGCCAGTGTAAACAATGTACTGAGTTTTATAAGAAGGTTCATTTCTTTTCTTTTTGACAGGGTGAACGTGGTCGCCATCGTGGGGATGGCTCTAAGGCAAACCAGAGGCCCACAAAAACCCTATTTGTGATTAATTTTGACCCAATTCGTACGCGAGTTCGTGATATAGAAAGACACTTTGAACCTTATGGGAAGGTTCTTAATGTTAGAATTCGTCGGAACTTTGCATTTGTGCAGTTTGAAACACAAGAAGATGCTACTAAAGCTCTTGAGTGCACACATATGAGGTCAGTGATGAGATTTTTATATCTTTTGATAAATTCTCAGGTTTCTTATTTTATTCACTCTGTATATATATATAATGTATTTCTGGTTTCATTCTGTTTGCAGTAAGATACTGGACAGAGTGGTGTCTGTTGAGTATGCTCTGAGGGATGATGATGAAAAGGGTGACAGGTATGGTGACAGTCCTAGAAGAGGGGGTTATGGGAGATCCCCCAGTCCAGCTTATCGGAGGCGACCAAGTCCTGACTATGGTCGTCCACGCAGCCCTGCGTATGATAGGTACAATGGACCAGCTTATGACAGGCGCAAGAGCCCTGATTATGGTAGGCCTAGAAGTCCTGATTATGGTAGGCACAGGAGTCCTGAATATGGTAGACATCGCAGGTATTGTATTTATTTGTCATTATACTTAATTATCTGTGCAATTGCACTTTTTTGTTCATTTCTGTAGCTTATACATTTTTTCTTTATCTACAGCCGTTCACCGATTCGAAGGTCAAGATCTTAGAAGTGTTGCTTGGTTTAGGAATACGAAGCAGGATGCAATGGCACCTGGTTTAGGAATATGAAGCAGGCTGCAATGGCACCTTGTGTTGCTTTTTGGTTCTTTTAGTGGTGTACTGTTTACATTTTAATTTTTTGTTTCTTCCTAGATATGTAGTAGTAATCATGGCTAATTGTGATGATAGGACCTGAATCTAATCTGTTTAACGGGTGTATGATCGCATTTTAAGTCTTTATTTTTTCCTACATGTGTTGCAGTCGTAGCGAATTGTGATGATAGGACTTGAATTTAATCTGTTTAAAGACAGAATTGGTTATACCTGTTATAGTGACACGGTGTCTTGCCGTGATTGAAATTAATTATTTTCGAAGTGCTAATGCTAAAGTGAGGGGGCTGAAATTGGTGCTGTTAGTGAGGTATAATCAGGAGTTTGTAGTTTTTTTTTCATGACCAAACAATATTTTTCATTGAACATGGGACACTTTTATTTGACGGTCTGATAGTAATTAAGTAGGCATTGTCTCAATTTGAGTTTTTTGCATTTGGAAGAGGTAAAGATTTGAATTTTATGACTTTGTTAAGCGACATGAACCCGAAGTTTGTAGTTGTCATCAGGAATGGCTAAATATTAATGTACAGCAAGTCACGGTTTGAAGAACTATCACCGAATGAGGTATATTTTTGGCCAGTCATCATAATCTGTCGAGGCCGCACTTGGTGAAAGGTATAATTGGTTTTACGTGGTCTATGTTTAGACTGGTCAGTTAAATGTTATTGACGGGCATGATGCATTATTCAAGTAGACATCATTCGTAGTTTTCGTGGACTTGCAGAAAGACAAGGTTATTTACTTATATTATTCGTTTGCTTTAGATGTTAATAGAACATGGTGTTTCTATTTTGGTGTTTTCATTCCTTACCTCTCATCTATGACCAGTCAGTGACGTGAATATTATCCTATATCTTGCTGCATTTTTTCAAATTCAAAGAGAGGGATAAGTGCATAACTAGTAGGGGACACTACAATAGAATTGGTTTTGAGCCGTTAAATTGATTGAGTTGTGTTAAATTAGTCACAAATTTTATCTTAAAATGTGTTGTGATAAGAAAAAAATGTTCTTAGGCAGAGCATGGGAATTTATAGCAGCGTATTTCGGCCAAACTTCTGTATGATGCAACAGGTGGTCTTTCTGGGATTGCATTTTCGGGAGTATTTGCAGGGCGTACAACTATTATTTAGGACAAACTAACTCCCGTCATGATATAGATAAATACAGCCACTGAATGATGAATCTAATACAACTGCATGCTCTCTGGCACTGTATCATCATCACAGACGAGTAAATTTTTAAATTATTTTTGAAAATGTATGAATCTGGAGGACTAATTCAGGACTTTGGTTCATCACGCAAACTGATGTTCTGATCGATTTTCAATCAATACTCCCTGGCTTATCTTTCTAATTTGCATAGATCATACGTTTGACTGACTTTTGATTTGGGATAAGACTCGGTTATTTCTGATAATACAAATGCAAGGAAAATATCTAATTTAACTTACGTCTTGTATCAAACTCTTTTCTGCTTGAACAAACTCACTGAACAGATTCATTTCATGATACATAAATTCCCATAAGAAAGCACTTATGCAGTGTCACAAGTTTCTTATAATTGCATGATAGACACATGTATGCACACACAAATACATAAATAACTTACAATTGATTGCAAAAGGTTTAAGTTTAAGAGGAGGATTTGGTGAGCTCTTGTTCAAGTGCTTTGTGAAGCCATGTCTCAGCATCATCCATGATTCCAGGGCTAAGCCTGACCATAAGGATGCAAAACTCAGTCTCATTGAGCTTTCCATCCCCATCAAGATCACCCTGTCTAACCATGGCCTCTGCATCCTCTTTGCTCATTTCATCAATACCCAACAGAGCTGAATTCCTCATCAGACTCTCACTAGTGATCAAACCCGTTTCTGGGTCAGCCAGAAGCTTGAAACCCCCACACAGCTCAGACACAAAGGTCTCCACATCCAGCTTCTCTGCCATCACAGGCAGCAAGTCCTCGAACTCTGCTTCCATCGTCCTCTCTTTCTTGGATTGCTTGCCTTTGCCTTCCATTGTTTTGGGAGGACAAATAATTTTTTAATTAATTGTTGAACGTGGAAACAAAGGTGGAAGAAGAAAGCGACTTTGGAAGACTTGTTGTAAGTAACTATCACCAATAAATAAGAATTATAGGGATAGATACATGATGGCTTTTTGCAAGTCGACTCTAAAAAAATAAATTAGTATTTATAGTCACAACTTCATATTTATAGATAAGATAATGACTTTTCAAGAGATATAAAAAAAATTTCTTTTCTATTTTTCCCCTTCAAGAAATCCCGTGTGGTACAATTTCAAGACTTGACAATGTAAGATTGTTCAGCCTGGAAAAATTGTATTTGTAGAATTTTGTGCACAAAAGGTGAGAATAGTATCAGGTAAAATTTAAAATGATTGACGTGCAAAGAGATAATTTTTTTTTATATAAATATTATATGAATTGACTCGTTTTTTAGGAGTTAAAAATATAGGTGGATCTCATCTATTTTTACTTGAAGAAACTAGAGAGTATTGCTTGTGCACTAATATATTTAGTTACTATTAAGAGTCAATATTCCAATTTTATATGTGAGGAAAAATAAGATAACAAGTGTAGTACAAATATAACAAGTTATATACGGATTTTTCCTTATGCAGATTGTTGAAGAAATTCACATGAGAAAATTTTAATCCATTAAAATTTTATTTAAAACTGGAGTTTAGTACATGTAATTACGGATTTTTTTTCGAGGACTAAAAAAATATTAAATACTAAATGTATTTTTATCATAAAAAAAATTATTTCTTGTAACTTATATTAGAATCTTTAGAATATTATTATTTCATTAATGTTTATTCTCATTTTATTTAGAAGACATTTTAAGAGACAAATGAAATTTTAAATTTTTTTTTATTTTTTGTTACAAAACATAATTTTTTGTATTTATTCAAAATGGTAAAATAAAACATTTTAAAATTAATAATAACGAAAAGGGAGATAGGTCTTGTCTTAAATGATGGCTAAACTTGAACATATGTAGGAGGTGTGAATGAAGTTTGTTCAAAGTCAATGACTCCAAATCATGTTCACATGGCTAATTTTAAGAATTGACTTAAATTATACAGAAGATATTTTATTAGGAAGTTAAAAAAATGGAATGGTTTTGAAATATTTTTGTTTGTGCATTTAAAAACTAATTTTAGTTTATTTAAGTTTGAGCAGATTTCAGTTTTAATTTTGGATTAAATAGCAGATCTTTCCTTATATACTTACCACTTCATCTGAATAATTATGAATAAAAAAAGTAAAATTATAAAAAAAGAAGTGAGATATTATTTGTAAGACATTACAATTACAATCATAAAAAATGATTTTTGAGGTGGGTTTTAAATATGAGAAATAATTTTAAAATAAAAAATTATTTAATTTAATTAAATCGAATCAGTTATATTTTTAATAATTTGAAATACAACACCTTAGCAGAGTCTCGGAGATGGGACATGACTTAATAGATATATAGTCCAAGAAGGACGATATATAAATAATGCATGTGATGATTTCTTTGGTGGGGAAGAAGGGATATTGTGGATAGAATTGGAACGTGACATTATTTTTGAGTGCTGTGAAGAGTTTGGTTTCCACGAAGCTTCCGCTGGTGCTTCTCAGTCATTTTCTTTTTCTTCATATTTTGCATCTTGTCATAATAAACGGACCATCATCATTTATAAATTATTTCCTGCCAAATCAGACAAGCTTTTGCCACCGTGTCTCATCAATCACCATACATTTCTTTTTATCACATCTGAAATATGGATTTGAGTCTTATCCTCCAATAATATAATCTAGTTATGTTAACAAGAAGAAAAAAAATTATTGAATATAATCAATCGAGATAAAAGTTTTATTTGTCCAAGACTGCAATAGATTTTCATTTTAATCACTAAAATTACTAGTGCGATTTATTTTAATCTTTTCCCTTACAAAATCTTTATCACAGTTTTAATTTTGCAACTAATTTTGAATAAGCTGACATGATCAACCTATATTCACCATAGTTTACCTTTTCCAGGCAAGCAAAAAGACCATGATAAATCCAATGAGATAACTATGTTCATTTTATTTTGTGCATTAATATTTATTCTTCACTTTTATTCCTTTCGATTCATCTATATTTGGTATTTACAGATATTGATTGAACATTTGTAAGGTCGAACATGTATTTAATTACATCAAGATTGAAAAATAGTTATACAATGACAAATCAATTGTGAGTTTTTACCTTTTTTTATTAGTTTACTAAATTTGTATTTTATATATATATATATATATATATATATATATATATATATATCCTTTAAGATATATTTGGTGGATAGGGTGAGATAAAGTATCTTATGTGTTTTATATATATATATATATATATATATATATATATATATATATATGTGTGTAATCTTAAATCTTTCTTAACATTGTTTACTTTGACTTTGTAGTAGTTTGTTTTAATTCACTATTTAGCAATTATAGGAAGTTGAAATAGATGTAAGGTTTGATGCAAGTTAATGTAAGGCAAAAAGTTATCCAAAGTAATGCTCATGAAATAATACCTCAAAAGTATTAAAAAAGGTCGAGTAAGAATATTGACTTTCTCTAAAAGGAGCCATATCCAATACACAACTCAAATTAAATGTCACAAATTATACAATAATGAAATAACTTGGACAAAGGCAAAAAGAAGTTAGCAGACAAGCTCAAAGTCAATGACCAATTTTCTTTTTGGTTATCCATCTCCTTTTCGTGGCTTCCACTGCTTCCAACTTTAATCTCGAAAGCTCTTGAAACCAATGTTGATACTGTGACTCAATTGCATCAAGTTCAAACTTTAGTTCAAGGTCAATTTCTTTGTCAACTAAAGATAAGGAAGAACAATTGCTTGTAAGACTTATAAGATTGGATGTTTCACATAATGATGGAGTTATAAAGTGTGAGTTCTTTGAGAATTCACTTATCTCAATTTTTTCTCCAACATTGCAATCTATAGTATGCAATTTATAGCCTTCAAAGCACATATCGCCAAGCTCCACTTCAGAGGTGGACCAACTTAATTCTTTTAAGCTCCCATCAACATCATAATCAAGATAAATGTTATTTTTCATGCAAGTATCTTCAATAGCTATATTAGAAGCTATGGATTCTTCTGAATATCTATCTTCCAAGCTAGACAAACTAGAAAAATTATGCTTATCCTCAAGAACAACCTTATCAACAACATTAGATATGTAGCCTTTTGTAGTTGTTGTAAAACCTTCTCCTTGATTAGCATTAAATCCGTATGAGTTATCTTGATCCAAAACTAATTCAGATGGAACACTAGCAAGGACAGGACCCCAGGGGCATGAAATTAAGGCTTGACTTTCTCCTTGTGTTGGAGAGCCACCACACTGACTTGATCCTCCACTAAAGGAATAATTAAATGAGGGTTTCCAATCAGGCACAAGTTTCATAATCAAGTAATCAATAAGCTCGACTATGAAAGCTACATCATTGTTTTCTAGCTCCAAATTTTCTACCATCTCCGAGGCAACAGAGACTGCAGTATCCGTCTCAAGGTAAAAGAGAAAATGTATATTTCTTACTCGACCTATAAGTAACAAAGGCATGTTACTGCTACATAAAAGACGAAGAGTAACATGGGAACATGTTAAAACTAATTTATATGTTTACCACTTCCAAAACTCCACCCGTTCCCTGTAGACAAAGGAAATAGAAGAAAAAAAAAACAAAGGAGGAAAAACTCACATACTTACCACATAAATCAGCAATACGTAAGATTAATGATATTGAGTTATCATCATTTTTGGCCCCTTTCAACTTAAACTCATTGTTCTCATAAGCCTTTTGAACTTCATGAACTGGACAATGAGGACTTCCTTGACTATTTTCATCAACACAGGTGCTTAAAGATATGTGTTGATAGTCAGCATCTAAGTCCATGGATAGCTGACTAGACTTGGAAAGATCTATAGCTTTCAAAGAGTTATTAGGTAATTGTAAGGGATCAATGGTTGATTGTTTTAGACTCTTAACTTGCAAAAATGGGTCTTTAAGAAGATCCTTTGCAGACATTCTCTTGGATGCTGGGACGAGACATTTCTTAATAAACTCCTTAATTTGGGGATCGCTTACTCTTTTAAGGGATGCAGGTTCAATACCCTGTAATAAAATGAACCAAAATATAGAATAATATGAGCATTGTAGTTCATATAACAAATATGCAATAAAAATTTATATTAATAGTTATATACTTACAGAAGTTACTTTCTTATAAATTTGGGCTGGATTGTTGCATTCACTATATGGGTACTCAACAGTAACCATCTCCAACATGCACATCCCAAACGAATAAACATCAACAAGTTCATTGTATTCCTCTTCATATAGTTCTGGAGCCATAAATTCAGGAGTCCCTATTAAAAGGAAAAAATAAATATTAATGAACCATAATTTAGTGTCGCATATAGGGCTAGTATGATGAAAAACATAATGTTGAAGGAACATAATGCTACCAATAACACTCCGAGCAGTTGGTTGTTGCATTGCAATTGCCAAACCAAGGTCTCCTATCTTAACTTCTCCATGGTTTCCATTCACAAAGATGTTGTCACATTTCAAGTCTCTATGAATAATAGGTGGATCGTGACTATGAAGGTATACCAAGCCTTGAAGAATTTGCCTAGCCCAACCTTTTATGGCTTTCATGTCAACATATTTATGCCTTTTACGGTATCTGTTAACCAAAAAAATAGAATAAGTTTGTATACATTATAATCAAAAAAAGTGGATGAAGATGATGAAAGATTAAAAAGAACATACTGCCTTAAATTTCCAGATGTGAATAACTCAGTAATAATGTTGATGGTTTTCTTCTTGTCATCAACCCAAGAGTTAAAGAACATTATGATATTTTCATGTTTTAGAGACTTTAATAGATCAACTTCAAAATTCAGCTTTGCAAGATTATCAACTGATTGATAGAGTTCATCAATTCGAACTTGGTTCCAAGCAACTTCTATTCCGTCAACTTCATCAAAACCCTTGTAACTGTCATATATCAAGACAAAGAATTGGATTAAACAAGATCTCTTTATAAGTCCAATAATCTTTAGATATTATTGCATATAATTTTTTCTTAAAAAAATTCATTGGAATAAAGCAAGTTCTAAATAAAGCTAAATGGTTGTGAAAAAAATAATGAAATAGAGATGAAGGGAATTTAAATAAAGAAGAAAAGATCAAGTATCAAAATCATACACAATTTTGAAAGCACCCTTGCCCAATATTTCGTTGTACTGTAAGAAAAAAAAATAAAAAAAGTTAAAATTGAAAAAAAAAATAAAAAGAAGTAAAATATAAGATAAAAGTAAATAATTCCTCGTAGCAAACAAGCATATCATAACAATTTATAGTTGTGCTTTTCCAAAAGGAATTTCTCTATTATTTATATAATTAAATCTTGGACACGGTATGGTAGTTTTATGATTGCTTATTAAGAATGATCATCAATAAAGCACGTGGTTAGTAAAATAAAAGCTGAACATGAATTGTAAATATATTTTGTTAAATTATATCAAGATAATTCATAAAGGTAGAATAACAAAGATATCAAAAAGGTAGGTTATTGAGTAAACTCCAAAACTAAGATGATTTTCTATCGCTTCTCGTCTAAAAAAAACTAAAAACGAAGTGATGCATTTAGCTAGTACATTTATACATTTTGTATGATCATTAGAAACCTGATATTAGCGCAATTTATCCACCTGTATTAAAATCCAAACTATGAATAAGATTGACATAACTAATTAAGATTAATTAATTTTTTTGTTTTAATGCCAACTAAAATAAACAAACTGACAAAAGAGAAATTTCTCTCTCACGTAACATTGAGGCAACGTGAAATGGATTCAAAATGTGTATACCCCAGTAGCTCAACTTGCTCATTTTTGCCACAAGGTTATTAAACATTTCAAACCCAACTAATACATTACAAGAAAAGTTATATATATTTACGGACATTTTATTCTTATAAACACGACTATTGTGGTATTAATATTTCGTGTTGGTAAAAAGTCTCAAATAAGTATACTCATTTATTATAAGTAAAATTTATAAAATTATTATTATATATCTTATATTATAAACAAATAGATCATTTGTAGATAAATATAAAATAGACATTTATCTACAAATTTTGAATTTTTAGTGATAGTTTATGTTGATCACTATCTAACAATTGTGTCGTAGAGATATGAGAAACAAAAATTTGAATAAGAAATAGATAATGGGGAATGAACAAAGTAATGATCATACCCGAAGATATCGACCGGTGGGATCTTTCTCTACAACGACCTCGAAATCACGAGACTCTCCTATTTTGAAATCATTGTTGGGCGGCAATGAGAATACAATACCAGAGTCCATTTGTAGGCTAAGAGATTAGCCTTATAAATGTTTGTTTTTTTCCTTTCCTTTTAGGGTTTGGCTTTTGGTGTTATTCAAAACAACGTAAGGGTCAAAGGTGTTGTTGGTCAGCTTCAAGTGAGATGAATGAAAAACCACTCTCAAAGAAAGCTTTGGAATCAACAATGAACAAATCGAATGCCGAACGCAACATGCATCGGCATTCGATAACGATGGTTAGAGGCAATGAACCTAAATCCAAAACCCCACCTTCCATATTATAGCAAAAATTCATCTTCTAACAAAATCCAAAACAACTTTCCTCCCAAGATCCATTCTTTTCACCAACCTAAGCACCCAAACTGAAAAGAAACAAAATTGAACAGATGGGTATTACGTTAATGCGTTAGACCATCTGCTAAGAAAAAATTCTCTGAAAATTAATCTAAAAATAAAAATAAAAGAAACTGAGCAACAGGTTTTGGTTAGAGATGATGGTCGGTAAGCAATAGAAAACGTGTGTGGAAGTAATTCTGGAGCGAAACTGAAGGTGAGAACCAACACTTGTGTGGTAAATACAGCATTCAGTTGTAGAGAAAGAGAACTAAACTATTCCTAGATTCGTTATTACACTTGGTTTGTTTAGTTAGGTTGTAACAAAAATATAGTAAGGCCAAAAGATTCATTAAATTAACTTTATAAAATATAAATTGTTAGGAGTGATAACAAATTATTTTTTTTTAAATATATATATTGGTGACTAAAGAAAAAATATATATTTTAGAAAATAAATTAATTAATTTAGTTAGATGAGGCAATTAAAACATAAACTTGTACAAGAGACATATTAATTATATAAATAAGTACATGTTTATTAAAAACAAATGCAGAAAGAGTCATCATCGAAATTGAGAGTTTTTTGTGAATTTTTTAAAGGATAAAAATGCATCGAAATCTATGCTTTGCTAGTTTAGTTTTGATTTTTTTTTAGAACTAAAATTTTGATTATTAAACAATATAATTAGTTACTTTTTATTATTTTTATTTATCGTGTGGAGAAAAATTAAGAACATTAATTTGATAAGTACTAAATTGATTACAAAAGCATGGAATAATAGATCACATAAAAAAAATAGGAATGATAATGGAAAAAGTCAAATATTAGATTTATTCATCATTAAATTAGTCAACTAAAATTAAAATAAGTCAAGAGCGATAATAAATATAATTAATTACAAACAAATATTAACGATATGGAATTATATATATATATATACATATAAATTAAACTTATAATATATATATATATATATATA